AGGGTATTATATTATTATATAGGATATTCACATAAAACTGGCCCCATTCACTAATTGTTGTACTCTTCATAATGGAAAAAAACCTGGCAAATGAGACCAAAAAAAAAACATATCTTTGAAAACTTAATTTTATTCATAAAACATTTTTAAACATTAACCAATCTTAATTTTAAAAGAGTCCATTTTAATATGAAACACTCTATAAGGAATGGCAAGAAAATTATAATATAGAGGAAGCAAAATATTAAGTCCGTCTCTGTATATTACGTATTATATTCTAATACTGTACATTGAAGAATAATATATAATTTACATAAATATTTTAAATTTTCATTGCATAATTAAGTTATACTGCGATAATATTTAAAATTTTCATCATACTTCCTTCAAAACTTAATCTAGACGTCCCCCCTTTAAATTACTAAAAATTAAAAAAAAATCACATTAAAATGGTTAGTTTTCACTTAAGAATGATCTAAATTGAATTTTAAATTTAAAAAAATAATAATTTAAATATTTTACTAAACATAGATTTTTTAAAATATACTTTAAAAAACGTTGTTTAAAAACGAAAATTCTTGAAGAGAATTCATTATAGCTAAATTTCTTCAATATTGTATAAGACTCGGTTGATAAATTTATTCTAGAAAAAAAGAAATGAAAATTTAATTTCTACGTTTTTATTACTTTTCTAATTTAGTATGAAATTAATATTAATGAATAGTTACGAAATTTCCAACGAAGTTAAGTAGTAAATTGAATGATGTAAAGACAAAAATTAATGTGCTTGTACAACTTTATTACAAAGATCTTAGACTTTTATAGTTCTTCAGACCAAAATAAAAGTAAGGTGATAAAAATCGTGATTGCTTAAGTTTTTAGATCTTGTTTTTTTTCCAGTTTCCTCTATATTATTAATAGACTATAAATAAAATTTAGACCTATAGAATAACGAAATAGAATGCCGTCTTCGAATAATTACATAGTATTCACTGCTTATCATCTAAAATCTGTATTAAATCACAGATATTATTAACAGCAAAGATTTTTTTTTTATTTTTCAATTTAGAAAATTTTAGTTAATTAAATAATAAATTTGATATAAAATCTTAATTCAGTTATATGTAATATTTAAAATAAAAACTCGAAGAAGAGTTAGTAAAAAATTCATTTTTAATATTGGTTACATACGTCCAGAATATTTTTTTCTCGAAATTTCATCCAATTTTAAAGGAAAAAGTACGTTTCATACGATATAGATAAAGAAAATTTATGTTTAAAATCACTAGAAAATGGTCCGTATCCACAGAAAATGAATTAAAAATAGTTCAAAATTCTGATTTAGATCAAAGAAATGATTCATGACTCAAACCAGTTTCAACTATTTCTTTACTAGAAAACTTTGAGATTAATCGGAGTATTTTTCAAAAGTATTGATTCATTGGTGATGCTTAATACAGCATTACTTTTAATAGACTAAATCGAATTTTAATCTTAAAATTAAATAATTTTTATGTTATTTTAATTACTTAAATCAAAATTAACCCACGTTTCATTTATATTATATTATTATAACTCTGATACTACAGCATATTGTATATCAGCTACGTTCTATTCTAATTACATAAACGTCAATTTAAGATTCAAGTTTTGCCTCAGTTGAGTTACAATCCACTTATCATACGTGTTACTTACCATCAGTTATACACTATTATTATTATTATTATTATTAAAGCATACGTAATTATTTATACACAAATTGCAAGGTTTCATCAATTGGCATCCATGTTATACAGCTTAATTACAATAGCTTATCTTCATTTCCTCGGTAATTTTATAATATTTTTTGGTAAATTTACTCGGTTATGAGTCTTAATTATTAACATATTTTTTTTTTTGTTTTTTTAATGCTGTTTATAATTTCTTATCGTGGACGTGTAACACTCGTACTTGTAACGATATTCTAATTACCGATTATTGCAGCGTAATTGTAACTTTAGCTATTTCTGCTTAAATGCCAATGAAATGTAATAATCCACTTTTAATCAGTTTTTAATGAGAAAGCGGTCGTTAGAAAGATAGCTTTAATGTATTCCAAAAGGGAAGTATTCTAATTAAAAAAAATCGATTAAACACGAAGGAGATTCTTATATTTAAAAGTAAAGAAGAAAGGGGGAAAGAAATCATGAGAGTACTTTCTTAAATTTTTCGATTAAAGTAAAGAATTGGACAGAAACTCGATCTGTTTAGAAACAATTTTGAGACAATTTCTAATCCTGGTTTTCGGAATCTTTTTTTTATTTATTTTTTTTCCTATTTTTTCTTTTTTTTTTTACAAACGAGAATTGAATAATATGATTCTTCTGATATTGAAAACTGTGTTTTCCTTTACGAAATAAGATAAAATATTTATTAGAATGAAAAGCAATGTTGTTGTTGTTTTTTACGATTTTCCTTATTTAATAATAATTTAAATCAAATAAACATAACATTCTTAAGAGTTTTATAAAAAAAAAAAAAAAAAAAGTAAACTTCTGTTTCGGAAATGTAAAATTTAAATAATAGATGAAAACCTCGAATAATTTCGGATTACCGAAAGCAATGTTTTAAATTTTATAAAAATAAAAAAAAGTTTAGTGTATTAATTAAAATTTTATTAAATAAATTGTTTTCGGTATAATTGAATTTTATTTTTCATTCATTTATTTAATGTTATTTTTAGTTTAAAAAAGAAAAACAAAATCTGAAAAATTTATATCATTCATGTTTCTTAATTTAAAATTCAAATATCTTTCCAAATATCTCATATATTTTTTTAATTATAATATGAAACAATTAAGAAAAGTTATTAATTTTTTTAAATTTTATAATATATAATTATATATATCAATATTTTCCAAATATTATATATAACTGAATAACTGACGGTTTTTACTTTAATTATAGATAAATTTTGCATATTTTTCCCCGTATACAGGGTGGCCCAAAAGTCACTTAACTGAGATGTATTTATTATTATTATTATTATTAGTTTGAATTATTATTATGTTAATAATAATAATAATTCATATCAGTTTGCTTTTTCTTATTCGTAATTCAGTTGCCCCGAATTACAAAACTTTAAATAACTGACTCGTGGATCAACTTTTATTAAAGTATACAACCGAGTTTTGGGCCACTTTATGTATTTGTAATTGTTATTAAATATATATTAGCTAAATCTTCCTTTCGTTGTTAATGTTTCATTCCAAACGAAAATTTAAATTTTGATTTTAAAAATTAAAATTTCAAAAAGGACAGACAGTTTTAAAACAAAATCTATGACTTATTTATGATTAGTAAACTAAATCGTGATTATAAGAAGTGAAATGTCTATAAAAGTAAACATATAAATGAATAAATGCGAGTTGCTAGTATTAAATAAAACAGTAAATATTTTTATGAATTTAAACAAAATATACATATAATTCGTATAAAATTAGACATTTAATTATTTATAAAGTTAAAAAATAGTTTATAAATAGTTAGAGTTTAAAATATTATAGTATATAAAATTTATATACTTTAATGCATTTTCTATAAGTTAAAGAGAAAACTTATTGAAAAGATTTAACGAGGGGAGTAAGATCTTAGTTTTTTTTTTTTTTTTTTGAATTAAGCATTCAGATAACGATGGTAAAAATACTTTGTAAATCCTAACTCACAATATTGAAAGATATCTGATGCATTTTCAATTGATGGTAAAGGCTTGGTAAACTACCTTATTATTATTTTACTGCTCAATTTTCCAAACCAATCTCTATTTCTTGTAATTTTCTTGATATTCTTTCAATATATTTGTTGAATCTTACATAAATACTTTTATTGTATTGGAATTTCTCAAGAAATGTCACATTTTACGACGTTCCCTTCTTTCATTTTCCTTTAAACTATTAATAACTTCTTATATTATGCACATTTTATCAACGAATTAAATAAATGATAAGAAATTAATTACGTTATAACGTTTTATGATAATTACAGGATATTTTTTAGATAAAATTTGTGATAAAGAATTTAATTTTTGCTCTGGTTAGGTAATAAAACGAAAAAAAAATTGATAATAAAATATAACAAGAATAAATGGGAAACACGTTGAAGTAAATAATAAATGATTATAAGATATTAAATAAAATATATCAAAATAGCTTAATGCTTTTTATTTATAGCGACGATATAGTTTTTATATTATTTAAAATATATGAAATATAAACATATTTTCTGAAGACATTTGAAATATGAAATTTCAGATGATGTCTTCGAGATCATATAATTGAATATCATTAATTTATAATATCGTTTGTAAATATTTATATGATATATATCATATTGAAAATTGAATATTTAAATGTATACATTCAAGATTATTCCAATTTTTTTTTGTTTAGAATTTGGAATTTTCTGAATTCAAATAAATTTTTTTTTTTAGCAAATTTAAATATTTATAAAACATTTCCGAAAAATAATAAGTATGCAATTTTTTACTTTGGGAATTTTATTATTGCACGCTTCAAAAATACCATCCAAATTTTGCATTATAAATGTATAAGCGAACAGATTTGGAAATTGGTCTAAAAAAATAAAATAAAATAAAATTTCTTATACATAAAAGAAAACTACTTTGAAAAATTTGTTCGAGTATGAAATTATATAGAAAGAAATTTTCTCATTTAGAATTTAATAAATATAATCTAAAGCACAAATTTTAATAGTGCTGTTTGGCATAAATTACACGCATTTAATAATTTTAAAAAATCTCTTATTTTAATAATTTTAAACTGAACAATAGAAGAATCACATATATGTAAGAATATCGCTATTTATTATAATTCCTTACAATTTTTTAGAATTTTTTTTCCTGCGAAGAGATGTTACACGAAACATTACTCTTTGGCATAATATGCACATTTTTAGCCTATATTTCTTTATATATCGATCTAACACATTGCTTTTTTTTGTAGGAAGACGAAGAAAGCTCCTCAAGGATTAAGAACATCACCTTCGACGATTCGTTATTTGTTCATACAGAACTGTACCGATTCCAGATGTCTCATCGTTCTTGTTACGGTATGATAATCATTTTCTTTATTTGTTATACTCATATTAACATTAATTTTCGTAAATGATACTCTTGCTACTTAACCCGACTTTGAAATATAAGGATTATGGACCCCAACGACTTATCTGTCAAATTAACTCTCCGTGGATCTCTCCAAGTGTTACCTGCTTCACCCTTTTTAAAATGTCTAACGTTGAATTAACGTATGCATAAGCATCTTGCTGAATTAATATTTGAAATTTTCCAGAATATATTTAATCTACCGACTTAAAAATTAATTAAATCTATTATAATTTCAATGTTCTTTGCGTTAATAAATAATAATGTTTACACGGATGTATTGTATTGAAAAGCATTATATAGACTTTATAAATAATGTAATAACATATTATATAATTATTTTTATGAGATAATTTTGAAGGCATTATATGGATGATAATAGAAGGATAAAAATAACGTTTCCTTTTATGCTATTATTATTATTTATTTATAGAAATGTTATAAATAAAATTTTTTATATTAAATTATATAATTTTTATTTATATAATAGCTTCATTAAATTATTTCTTCTAAGTTAAGCTATTAGAATTAAAACGATTAAATAGTTTTAAGTGGAGTAGTAGTAAAACATAAGTCTAGATATATGTAGAGTGGCTCAAAAGTCAATTAACCATAAAGTATTGTAAAGACTTAATTGCAGTCGTATTCAAATACTTTTATGGTTTAAAAACTCTACATAATCGTTCTTAATCGTTCTAAATTGTTCAATTGTTCCTTCTACTCAATGCACAAATTACAACGCCTTTGCAAACTAAATTATAACTATTTTTAAAGTCTTTTGATACCTTCGAATGGTTTACATGGTTAACTGACTTTCGGACTTTACTGTATATAGATTAATTCTGAAGGTAATTTTCTTTTCCATTTAGAATAAAAATGTTATTAAAACATTATATAAATACGTAGATATATGGAAAATTTAGAAAACAATTAGAATGTATACATAAACATGTTAAAATTACAGTATTTAAATAAATTCAGGTTTAAAAATATATAAAATATTTATATATAAGCAATCTCTGTTCGATTATTCATATTTTCTATCAATGTATACAAACAATAATGACATTAATATTTTTGAATTAATTTATTAATATCAACCATAAAATTTTTAACATTTATATTTCATACGTATAGCACGAATATTAAAGTTATATCATTAAAGAACGAATAGGTACTGTACTGTACATTAATTTAGTCCTACAATTCTGCAGAGCAATTCCTTTGAGGAAGATATCATAGATACAGAAGTAAAAATAGGCGATCAATAGTAGCTATATATTTAACTGATGTAGAACTACATATTAACATGATAATTCTATGTTTTATTTCTACAGTTTATAATATAGTTTATTAAAAACTTTATAAGAAAATTTATAAACTTCCCAGATTAAAAAAAAATTGTTATTTCTGCAGCTGTTAATCCTACTTGGATTTAGAGGTTGGATGTTACACGGCACCCTGCCTCAGTTTTCCAATCAAGACAATCCTGCAGCATTTTCTTCTTCCCTTCTCACCAGGTTAGTCAAAAGATATTAATATTTTAGAAAATTTACCATATTATTTCAATATATTGTATTTTATGCAAAATATATTTCCCTGGATAAATATAAAAAAAATTAAATATTTCTTAAAATAAACACTATCTTATCCTTTAAAAAAAAAAGTATGATTGACAATCGATTGTCTTTACGAGATCAACTTATCAACGAATATGTCTTTTGAAAATTGTACACGATTTAAATATTTTCTTAAAAAAATTACTTTCGTAAAGAGAAATTTATTATATTTTTAATAAATGTTACATTCATAAGGTAGAAAATATAGCTAATTTTTTTTTTTGTTTTTTGTTTCGAATGGTCCAAGGATGAAGGGTTGTGGTTGATAGAATAGTGCATGTTACTGTCAGGAACGTCAATCTTGCTTGAGTAGTCTGCTCTGCTAGAAAAATATTTGTCGGTCCTCTATGACTGCCTAGAAAAATACTTCTTCACTATATCTTTCACCCTTCTCCGTCTGTTCTAGAAAGGCAATATACAAAAAAGAAAAATAAATAAAAGCAAAAATACATTTTAAATGTTTAATTATAAAATTATTCATTTGTACTTTAACTAATTACAATAATTAATTCTTATAAATAAAATTTAATTAAAATCTCAAGAATTATTAGCTAAATTAGAATACTTTGTATTGATTTTGAAATATTCTTTAAATTACATTTGTTATTAATAATTTCATACGTTAAAACGCATTTCTCCGTATGAGAAAATATTTGTCGTCGTAAATAGATGCGAAAAATTAATGAAGTTAAAATTTGATATGCTTATTAAGAAAACAAAGCTGTCATATCAAAAATTTCAATGAAAATAGATAATTAAAATAAAGATTAATTTTAATTAATGGAAAAATATGATTCCTTTGCTTCAATTATTTATTGTTTTTTTTTAAATATTTAAATGTGAATTAAATTAGATTATGTTTATTTATAAAATAATTGGTATATAATATATTCAGTTTTATGTTTAACATGCTTTCCATTATAACTTTATAATGTAATATTTTAATAGAAAGTATGTTAAGAACATTTATAATTGTTTAAACTTAATTTCAATCATAATTTGTTCTTTGCAGCTCCACAGAATGATAATTTTAGCCCTCAGTTTAACAGTTGGCTGTGGCATTAAAAGTGTCAATCTTAAAATTTTGAGAAATCCCAGTTTGTATTCGGGTCAAATCCTCAAAAATTTTCACGAGTAATTTAATTCGGATATATTGGGGACACTCCTTCACCATTGGGCCCATTGTGAGTTTGACAGAACTTATAATGTGTATGAAAAAAAGACTCTTAATGCCCTCCAGGATAAAGTTATTGAAAAAATCCACAATTTAAAGAGTTATAAATATTGAATATATATAATTTTTTTGTCATTCCTATTCTTATTACAATAGTCTACGCTTATTCACTGAATCGAAAGGTGTAACACTTTAGTCGATTAATAAATAACTGAAAATTCAACTTTCCAATCGGCGTAAGTTGGTTTTATAGTGAAATAAATTTTCATTTCGAAAGAAAATCTGTACTTTAAACTTGAATCAATTTTTGCATAGACTTATAAAGTATAAAATTTTTATATTGAAAGCCTAATCTTATCTCATAATAATAAACGAAAAGAAATCTTGTAAGTTATCTAGAAAATAAAACAACGCTTATTCCATTGTCCTATTCAATGCTCTTCTCGCTTTATTTATTAAATTTTATCTTCGAAGCAAAATAAATATTTTTTTCTTATACTGAATTCACCTTCCAGAACAATCACTACAATAACCTTTTACTTTGCCCTTTTGTTTTCTCAAATCAGCTCCCGTTCGATAATTTTTTCCTCTATAAAAATTTATACATTTACATTATTCAATACTCTTATATATATTTAAATGCCCTTATCAATTTTTTAAATGTTTAATAAAAATGTTTATTAATTAAAAATTAATTGCTTATATTATGTATCACAGTATACAGTAAATAATTATAATATTCTTCACTGAAAAGTGAAAAAATATTTTTCAGTTTTGATGAAGATAAGTCGTCCTCTGCGATCGAAGTAAGATAGTAATTGAAACTGATTTTAAACGACAATTGGTTAAAACTGCAGATACTTAATGCTAATTGGTTGTTTGGATTTTATTAAAATATCCGTGCATCTAAGTGGCAAACAGTTAAGTAAACAGACCAATAACATAGTCCGTTTCATATTGGATTGGATTTTTTGGTTTTATTGGCTTCTTGGACTACATGGAGTCAAGCAAGCATCAGAATATGAACCGTTCATAAGAAACGGTCTACGTTATTAGTCTGCTTACTTAGCTGCTTGTCGCCTAGATATAACCTAACCGAACACAGGGCGATTATAAAGTTCTTATACAAGCTTAAACTTTAATAGTTTTGGAAAGAAATGTATTATATAAAAAGATAATTCTTAAAGTTTATTGCATCCCACAGCTATCATGGACTTCAATTCTATAAGCTATAACATACAGTTAATCTTTTCTCTTATTGTCGCCATTTTCAATAGGATAAAGGATTTGTTTAAGTTGTTTGAAAAGTTTAAAATTGCACGAGGACTTTATAATCACCCTATATATATATATGTGAACACAGAGTGGTTATAAATATATACAGTTTTCAAGCAATTATTGTAAGAAATATAATGCTGTCATCATTAAAACACATTTCGACTAATATCTTATTTAGATTGAAGAAATTATTCATTTAATAATAAATATTTTATTAAAATATTTAATTAATTTATTTGATATTTTAATATTTCTCATGAAAAATTACATCGTAAATTCATTAATTATTTATTTACATTTTTCCAAAAATACTCTTAAAATAATGTTATTCAACAATACATATCAAAATAAACAAGATTAAATTTTAAAATTCTTTAATTATTTATAAAAATTATCTTTCTCGTCACATTTAATATAAATTATAAACGATTAATGGCATGGATTGGAAGCTTAATTTTATACTGGGTACCGGTAATTTCACACTGGTAAATACGAAAAGATTAAAAATAATTTAATCGAATTTCTTTAATTATTTATTTTACTTCAGGTTTCTATTTCAAAATTTTAATTACAAACTTTGAACATTATACAAATCGAATTTATGACAGTTTTCTTAATTGCCACGTCTTCTCTTTAATTATTCTCTGTTCGAAACTTGTTCAGAAGTTAAGCAGAAAATAAAAATTACTTGACAATACAAAGTTTTCTTTCAATGATATTATGTAACGAGATATTTTCTTTAAATTAATCAAGAAATTCTTATTATAATTCTTTAATGACACGAAAATTTTTATCAGATTTTAAAGATTGATCGGTGAAATTAAACAATCTTTTTCGATCGAATATTCTCTAAAAATAATTTTTCATTCGTGTCGAAAGTATATTTAATATATTTTTATTCTTAAATTTATAAAAGAAACAAATAATATCAATGTTTGTCCTAGGTAAAGTTCTAAACTAAACAAATGTTAATGTAATATTACGTAGCAAACAATGGAAATGACAAAGTTAATTTATTTTTCCTTCAAGTATTCATATTCGTATGAAAGGAGTTAATACTCCAGGGAATAGATCAATATAGTTATTTAGACTTTACTTAAAAATTGCTAAAAGATATTTGAGATTATATTCAAATTTAAATTTGAGTAGTTTAATCTTCTTGTTTTCCAATGCTTATATTATAATATTTATTATTATGGCTCTTAGAAATTTTAAGAATTGACAATAATGAAGCCAGAGACTTGACTAAGAATGCCGTAGTTGTTAAGAATTAATGACGACTTATTATAATTCAGAGGGTGTATTTGAAATATACTCGCAGATAATTCTGTAGTCAAGAAAGTTTGAAATTTCAAATAATAAAATAACTCTTATGACATTTCCTTAGAATATATTAAACACAGGTTCATTTCCTACGAAGTTAATAATAAGTACTAATTTTGTAGAGACTTTTAAAATTTTGTAATTGTTTTCAATTCTTATACAGAATTATTGATAAGTAATAGAGTAATTCCGGCTTTGATTGTATTTTAATTGAATGAATAAACCGTTAATTTCGACGGGTTCCTGCTAATAATAATTATTCACAATACAGTAGATGAATTGATACGTAAATTATATAATGAAAGGAATTCTTTGAAAAGAAAAATAGTATTAACGTGTTTAAAATAAATTATAATGAATAGAGAGTATTAAGTAATTAGGTAATATAAAATTTTCATTACATACAGGCTTTTGAAAAGTGACAAAGAATATCTCGAAGAAGCACCTCAAATTTAAGTTCTGAAATGTGGAAAAATCACGTCTTATATTCAAAGTAATATGATATAAATGAAGCTGAATGCTTTTATTTATGTGTAAATACGTCGTTCTAAATCTCTGAGTAGGCTCTTCTCTATTTAAAGATGACTAAAATTAAGTTTCTCGACTTGTTTAAGCTGTTTAGATATGAATAAAGTTGAAATGAATAATTTCTTACCTTTATTATTATAAGTTTTTTTTAGTCTTAAAAGATTTTAAGTTTAAGTAAAGTTTATTAGTTAAATCTTTAGTTTGGAAACTGGGGCTTAACGTTTAGTGCAATGATATAAACATTTTTATTGCGAACAAATTGCCTTTAAAATTGTCAGTTTTTATTAAATATTGAGCAAATAACATCATTATTGTTAAAAAAGTAGCAAAAATTATTGTGACATTGTCAAAATGCCGGGCTACATTTTTAAATAATTTTTTAAATTTAAAATATATGCTCTCGATCTCAAATTAGTAGTGTCTTGCCCCTGTACATCATACTTTTCCTCGTAACAACAGAGTCATGCCAGTCATCTATGTAACTCTGTTCTGGGGAAAATTTTAGAATTTAAATTATGTGATTTCCTGTCTAGCCAGTAAGTTCGTATACAGTTAATAGGGGCGTCTTGCCACTAAGCTTTTCGTGTATTGTCTCCACTTTTATTTATCTAACACCGTTCTCGAGAACGGTGTTAGATAAATAAATGTGCAAACTGAATCAATTCTAATGAAATAACATTATTATTTCATGTAAAATCTTTCTTTCTGAATTATTATTATTAAATTCTACTTATAATTTTTAAATTGCGTATTTTTGACAGCTGAGAATATTAAAAACAAGAAAAGAATTAAAACTTTTAAAAATAATTTTAAAAAATTAATCACATAATGTTTAAAGATTTAATTATAGAATGAAGAAGCTCGATTAACATTAGCAAATATTTTAATGATATTTAACGAGACACATTCGTTACGATAAACATAAGCATAAAAAAAAAAACAATATTTTACAGAAATTTTCGGTTATTTTAAAAATTATTGTTCGACTTAATCACACTTTCTTTGCATTAAAATTCGATTTAGCGAGAGAGATTTTCATTATCTCATTACATTTCAAATTGTGGAGAATTTGTAATTAGAACCAGAGAATTACAAACCATTTCATACGAATCAACGACATTGGTCACGCGATTGACCCTCGTTTCGGAGGGAATTACTATATCAAAGCTTATAAACGTGACCAAAGCAGCGTAGATAGATTTCGGTTCGAAACTAAACAATGGTACCAATCGAGAGTTCGGGTGCAACTTATTAAATAATCTCGACGATTCTCTCTCTCTCTAGATTAAACGGTGATGGGAATATAGTGTTTGGTAGAGCGTGACGGATCGTGACACGTGATCGTTCGTGCGTGACAACCAATCGCCGTTCCGTTAATTTGGTGGAGGGAGTTGAAAGTCTTTTAACTATACGTTTTCGGCTATTTCTGCACCAATGGATTCGATGTGTCTATCGCACCATATAAAGTGTATATAACTGGATAGATTTTGGGAGAATAGGGTCTTGATGTGCAATCGCTGTTGCGGAAAGAACAGTTCGCTCCTCTTCTCATTGATTCATTTCTGTTTCGTCTAATTCCTATAAGGATTTAATGGAACGTCATAACAACTGTCACACTTTCCCAATTATGTGATTTTATTTAATTTAAAAGAAAAAAAAAAAAGAAAGGTATCATTCCGATCGTTCATACTTTACTAGTGAATACTGTAAGCAAGCTTTCTTGTTATCATTTATTTAGACTTAGAAAAGGTTTTCCTCCATTCGAAGTTATCGTGAAAATATAGAAGATTGCTAATGTAATGTGCATTTGAAAGACTTTATATCATTTTTATCTGAATGAAAGTTCTACGTGTTTCCACTATTCTGCGTATTTATAAAATATTGATTATATATCAAAAACTAGCGAGACGCTCTTTATGACGTGCGTATTTATAAAATATTGATTATATATCAAAGGTAGCGTTATTTTATTTATGAAAAAAATGGTAAAACTCTGTATTATAATACATGTACAAACTGAGAAAGCAGGTGCTTGATAAGATGGAATTCATATTTAAAAATTGTGGATGACACGCGAGATGTTATCGCATAAATCGGCATCATGCTCTTCCAATCGCTTTTTCTCTTCTCTAAATTCGAACACGTTTCTTATATATAAATCATAATACGAATATTTTATAAAATTATAATTATTAAGGATAAAAATGCAGCTCAAATAAATTCAGCAAATCATTTTAATGCATTGATTTTTTTAGTTAAAATATAAGAACCTTTTTTTCTTAAATATGATAAGAGGAAAATTATTATGGAGTAACCATATATTTTATCCTTAAAAATAACTTAGATTTAATATATATTTTTTAAAAAAATAATTGGAAAATATAATATGCAAAGTTTATTGTTTCATTATAAAAATATATATTTTGTAAACAAATCACTGTTTGCAAAACAAATTTAAAAAAAGATTCGAATTTTATTCAATTAGTAAATGTATATGCTATTATATTTGATTAGCTTTATATATATATATACAGAAAATGCAGGATATTCGTAAAGAGAAAAAATTGAATCGACGGTGAGAAGATTGATGAAGCTACTTTAGCCACAAGTCGTAGCACACTAGATTACATCTGTAATTAATAACAACGGGGTCACGTTCTCTAGTTAACGTCACGATTTCTGACGTGACACGAGCATCACGTTTTGATCCTAATTACAAGCTAGAATTTCGGAGAGAGAAGAACTGCTGAAAACACTTATCTACGATTAGAATATTCGCTCGACTAAAAGAACATCACTCTTACGCTTTGTGGCAGATTAACCAATGAAACATAAAATATCGTGAGCAGAAGCAAGAAAATTGCTTGTTCGATAAGTTGTTATCGCTTGCTGATTATTGATAACGTATCAGAAATGAGAAAATTTCAAAAATTATTTTTTACTTTCGAACTTTTTAACATTAGACAATTGCATTTTTACAATACACACACACACATATATATATATATAGTATGTTAAAAAAATAACATATAGTTTAATTTTCAAAATGTGGTTTAACTCAAGTTCTTCTTCTGTAGATTCCTGACGTATTCTTACCTCTCCGCCTTCAATGCCTGGCTTCTTCTAGCACCAATCACTCTTTCCTATGACTGGCAGATGGGTAGCATACCTTTAGTGGAATCGTTGTGGGATTGTCGTAACATAGCTACTATAAGTCTGGCTGTTATCATGGCTACCATCACCTGGCACATGGTTTATGGTTCCCAGGTAAGAAGAGGTAGGTCATTCTCCATCTAAATTCAAAAAAAAAGAAGCAACCAGAAAAAAAGACACTTAACACGAAGAAGGAAAAATCTGAGTGTTTATATTTGAAAACAGATTTTCAGAAAAGTAAATAAAAAAAAATTAATATCTTTTTAACTAAAAGTTTAAAAAAAATAAAAATAAAAATAATTTTGTTTATTGAGAAGGTCTCATATTCTTGTTTTATTTATTTTTTTTTAATGCCTGAGATTACGCCAATGATAGAAAAGCAACCTTAAGACATTTAGAACTACCGATAATCCTCAATTTCTTTCCTGTCATCAGGGCACAGAAAGGAGGAGGGTGTTTCTGTCATTGTCTTTACTTGTTTTTCCATTTCTTCCTGCTTCCAACTTATTTGTGACCGTGGGATTTGTTGTCGCCGAAAGAGTTCTCTATATACCGAGGTAGGAGATTATGTGGATTTTGATCACATTTTTCTGACCTGAATTATTCTCGATTAAAAAATAAATATTTCTTTTGTGCCTAACGTGTGTACAGTATTTATTTCGTAATTTATACTTTATATTATCGGAAGTAAAAATGACGAGCTAAAAATATAAAATATATATAAAATGAATAAAGAATATAAAGAAAACCTTTTCATAGTTTTTGATGTTTTGTAAATATATTTAACTAAATAAATTAAATATATAGAATTTATAGACATAAATAATAATTATTTTATGCATTTATTATCATAAATATAAGTTGAGGGCCTCGTGATTTATTATAAAAGTGCACATTAACGTTAAATAATAACAATATTACTGTTTCTATTAACTTAATTTTAATTTTTAATCGTTATCTTTTACTTCGTTTCGACATGATGTTAACTAATAAGTTTACATTTCTACACGGATAATTGAGAGTAAATTCGAAATTCTACAAGATTCAAACACGAATAATTTATTTTTTTTATTTTACAATGGAAAAATATACATAAACGCCTTTACCAAACAATGAATTGTATGTCCATATTCACGTACAGAATGTATATGCATTTTCAAATAACATCTCTGATATCGTTTTCCAATAGTGAACTATACAATGTGATAAATTCGCACAATAACAAATAAATTCATTCTTATAATTCTCTTGCAAATAGAGTAAACATGGACTACGTTTGCGTTAAAAGTATTTCCTTCTGATGCATATTTTCATCGAGATTTAGTAGTAAATAGTTAGTGTTACAAATGCAGTGGCTATTGTATGTAATGATGTATCTATAAACAGTATATCATACTCGATTTACTGTTAAACAAATAGATAATTAAATAAATTCTACAAAATAGGATTAAATAAGATTTTTAATTAATAAAAATAATTAAAATATTTATGAATTTTCGATTAAATTAAATTTGTATATAATTACAGTATAGGTTTTTGTATCTTGGTAACACATGGTCTTCATAGATTAATGGAAAGAGGTCCTTTGATTGCTTGGATCTGCCGTTTATGTACGTGTCTCTTATTATCGCTTTTTGTCATGAAAACGGTTACAAGAAATTCCGTTTGGCTTTCTAGAGAAGCGCTATTTAAGTAAGAATTTCTTATTTTTATAAATTAAAATTTATAATTAATTTTTACAAAATATATCGCATTTTAGTAAGAAAAATGTACATTATTCTGTAAATAATAACGTCAATATATATATATTTAATTAATTAATTACGAATTTGATTTATGACATTTTTCTAATTAAGATGCGAAATTTTTATCCTCCACTCATTATTAAATAAAGTAAAATAAATAAATAAACTTTAATTTAAAATTTAGAATTATTTTAATATGTTTAGAAATGAATTAAAATATTAATTTTTATAAATATATTTTTTTACTTTACGAATTAATGTTTCTCTAACTGAAATAATCCCTTAACAAACTTCAAACTTGTATCTTAAAGTTATTAAATATAATAATTTTGTAACGAAAAAAAACCAAAGTTTTGATCAGATTTACATTAACTACATTATAAAAAATTCATTTAGAGAAATTAAATATAGGAAAGAAAGAAAAAAAAAACATTGAAATAGTCTGCTTATCTTTTATATATATGAAGAAATTGCCAGAGTTATTTTTTTTCTTTCGATTTAAATAAAGTAATCACTTAAGACAATAAAAAAAGTTAATTATTTCCTTGTAAGATTTCCAATTTACTAGAAAACTAAGTAAATGACTGATTGAAAAACATTCTCATCATCGAATTTAATTTAATTTTACATGTTTTGTATCAATTGTTATCAAAGACAGAATCCCCGAAAATGTAACAGAGGCATTACTTTTGGAAAATTAGCGAGAAAATTTCTCTCCAATATTAAGATAAAGTGTTATCATTTATTGTCCAAAGAGATTGTATGAAATGATAAAGATATGATGACCATTACTGTCTGCCTGATTGATAATACTGTGTTCGATGTACAGAGACATTCTGACTGCAGGAAAAAAAAGAATTGATCTAAACAAGCATAAAAGTATTATTTTGCTAGATAAGACTCAAATTATTAAGACGAACTACCTATTAATGTATAGATATCAATATATATCTAGTTGCAGTATTTTTAGAAATGTTCTATAAATAAATATCTGAGAGCTTCATCTTCCATTCCATAATGATGTAGAATGTAGCTCAGCTTTTATAGAATGTCGTATATTTTATAATGCATTATTTATTGTTTATTTTCTATATTTACAACATAAGAAAATTAAATAATAGCATTTCTAATGTTTTCTTTGTAAATCAGATAGTTTTGTAAAGGGGAGAAATGTATTTATTAATTACTTCAATAATATAAACTTGAGTAAGGCTTTAAAATATACTAATGAAAGAATTAGGATTTTAACGCTGTAAAGTTAGTTAATTAAGCAATATAAGTTAATTTAAGCTAGATGCAATGTTATGTATAGATAGAGCTGCTCAAAACTGTTCATGAATTTAAAATTTGGAAGTAAATAACGTCAGAAATGGTTTAGTTTGATAGGATGAGGAAAAACAACATATGGGCAATCTACCAACGGGGGGGTGCCTTCCGGGAGGACTTTCTATTGGAAATTGACTCTTATTTAGGTGTTAGACACGTCAAGAAAACCCGGAAAATTCCACTTGGGCAGGCTGTTGGTGAGGCGTGAACCCGCGACCAACTCCCGTCTTCAGTGGTTTCATCCACTTGGCCACTGGTGAGCAGGTAATAGATAGGAAATTACAAAATTTAAATTGTGAGGTATTTTGACATTATAATTCCGCACAATTTCATACATAAAAATAAACAATTAGACAAAAAAAATTGTTGTATCTAAATTATGAAACTGGACTGAAATCAGTGGTGACGACTGTCGTGAATTAAAAAAGTATCAATAGTAAAGTAAATGATTTAAATATGAGAAAATAATAACAGAAAATTTTTTAATAAGTGTTTTTTCATACAAAATTTTAATCTAGAATACAGTATACTATTGCAATTAAAAAAATAATAATAATTTTGAGGTTTCATTTGGCAACGCATGGATGATCTGCCAAGGGGAAGTTCCTTCCGGGAGGATTTTCTGTGGGAAATTGGCTCTATTTACGTGCTAGACACGTGAAGAAAGCCAGAAAAATTCTAGATGGTCAGCCTGTTGGCAAGATGCGAACCCACGACCAACTCCAATGGTCAGTGGTTTTATTCACTCGGTCAGTGGTGGGCATTAATTTTCAGACAATGTAATTTTATAATTAATTCTTTATACACTTAAATATAAAATTTTCATTTAATTTGAAAAATATTTTATTAATATATATCTACAGAAATTTTAGACTTGTTTAATTTTAAGTAATCTTGTCAAATTTTCTAAATATCGATGCGTAATCAAACATAATATTTAAGAAATATGATCTTTTCATAATGCTTTAATAACTGTCTATCATATTTAATAACTCATTAAGAACATTTACATTAAGTTTAACCTTATCGAAGATTAATTATAATCTTCAAGATGATATCAGATTATAATCAAATTATAATCTTCAAGATGATATCAGACATATATTTTAATGCTATTTATTTATGTATAATTAAGGTAATGAAGGAACTAAACAATTTAGCTGCTCATTAGACATTCTTACACTTTTAAAAATTCTAAGATTTATAATATATTTGTTTAATAAAACTATATATATATGTATATATATATATAACTAAAATGTCATTCAAATATTTTTTATTCCGATTATAAGTTTATAGTATCGTTAAATGCAATTTACATATAAAAGTCGTATTTCTATGGATTTGTTCTTCCATTAGAGTTGCATTATCCCAAAAACAGAAAATATCTGTTCGCTCGAGTAGAAATGTCCCGATTATACAAGACATTCTGCTTGAACAGAATTCGATGCTATTTCCGACAGAGCGTAATTCACAAAACGTTCTGTAGGCATTTTTTTGATAAAAAAAATGTCTCTGTCAATCTCTTTGCAAATTTAAAATATTTTTAAGATGACATTTTTTTTCTTTCTTTTTTTTTCTTGCTTTTTTCCCCATTTTCATTTTAGATCCGGATTGGAAAGTGTACCCAACAATGCCAAAGTTCACTACAATTATGCTAATCTTAGGAAAGATAATGGCGATGTCGAAACTGCAATTATCCACTACAGAACGGCATTAAGGTAATAGTTTTAGCCTTATACATATTGAAAATTTAAATGAAAGACTCTATTTATTCACTAAGTAGAGACAGGGTAGACCTTTATTTCAGACCTTTATTTGATTTACAAAAGCGAAATATATCTTATATATTTATTTATTTTAACTTGCATATTTAATTTTTATTGTAAATGATAATAATTCTCGAAATTATATTAAAGCAATTTGTTAATAATAATAATATAATAATTTTTTCTATGAAATAAACTAAGCAGAAAATTTTTAAAATTTAAAGAATTTTTGAATATATAAAAGGAGATAACTAAGTTATACGGTTCTTTGTAAATGTTAAGAAGGAATTTATGTAAAATTAATGCAGATTTTAGTATAAACGTACCATTTAAAGTGTGATAATGGTTTAGTTTGTGAAAATAAAATGCAAAAGCGTGGAAACTTAATTAAAATTTTGTTTCCCTTCCTTTCGGAGGATCATAGAAAATTCGATTTTATATAATTATATAAACATAAACGTGTTCTATCGTTTATAAATAGCCTATCAAATTTAACACGAAAATCCTTAATGATAAATATTTTAATAATAATGTAAAATAAATAACCTAATGGATCGTAAGAAGAATAAGAAAATGTTTCATTTTCGATCCAGATTATGGCCTGATCATGCAAGTGCTCATAACAATTTGGGAACTCTGCTCAATGATACTGACAAAGCAGAACAACACTTCAAAATCGCTCTACAAATCGATCCCTGGCATCCCAGAGCCCATTTTAATCTAGCAAACCTCTATAGGTAAGTAAAATTTTAACTTTATTTTATAATTATTTTATGGCATTAATACATAAACTAATTATTTATTATTTAAACAAATAAAAGAGAAGATTATGTAGATATGGGATAAATTTAATGTACTGTACATTTTTAAAAAATTTAAATAAGTTAAAAATAAAATTTAAACTTATTTAATCTCAAGTAGATTAAACGTATACTTCTCGTTTATTCCATTATTTTGGAAAGACTAATCTCCTTCCTCATTTTAATGTTATCTAATGGCACATTATACGGAAGGTGTGTCTAGCAATCACTACGGCACGCTAAGTCTAAAGTATGAGCTATACAACTTTGTGAGATCGATGTGCCACGAACCGGCATCGAGACAAAGCTAACTGGAACTGCATACAATACCCAAGAGGCCTTATTTTTATACAGAAAAGTCATCTTTCACAAAAGGTCATCTAATCCTTCCAAGGGCAAGAGTTTTTCCTTTATTAAAATCTCTGGAAAACTTTCGAATGAAGTTGATTTTCTAATAGAAAAATAATTAGATCTAGTATTAATTACTTTATTTTATAGTTTTAAAATTAATTTATTTAATGAATGAAAATAAATAATTATAATTATTATTATTCACTTGTTTTTTTTATTTTCTCTATAATAAATAGCGTATGAGAGAATAACATTTTTATAGAAAATCAATATCGATTGAAACACACGTTTCGTGTAGGATACGGTTTAGCTATTTTCTACATACCTGTGTGCTTTAGTTATACGTGTTTGTCTGAACATACTCTATATATTTTTGTATATTTACAGTAATTAAATGTACCCCAACTTTAAAATCATAGACATGCACGTATAACATGAATCTATGGAAGAAAATTCATGAATCGAAAGCTAAAGATTCAATTGAAGATTGTAGGGTTCAGAATTCGACCTAAGACAAATATTGCGTACATAGAGTGTATACGTAAGGCTGATTTTAACATACATTTTTTCATAAACATGTACATTCTTACAGTACATTAATTATCATACATATTTCCACAATATATAATGGATATTTCTGACATAAACAAACTAGTTCAGGGTCTTAATTTTTAAGACCTTGCTGTTAAGCAAAACGATCTTAGCAATAGACAAATGTCATTTTTAGATTTTTAATATAAAATTTTTATTTTTCTCGTGTAGTTCATTAAAAACACTCATGAAGATGATGTCTGGGCTGCAGTTTTCAAATTGCAAACCTATACATTTACATAGTCGTCTGTCTGTTGCCGATCTGTCCTTTGTTAATCTCCTACACGGAGTTAGATAGATAAAAATCGAGACCACATATAGAAAACCAGACTGGAAGTCATGTGATTTCAATTCAAAATTTTTCTATGAACGGAGTAAGATGACTGGCATGACTCGATTGTTATCAGGAGAAGTATGATGTACAGGGGTAAGACCACTAAAATCCAGAAGGCTTAGAGGCCGAATAACCCGATTACCTATATAAGAACTTCCTTTTTAAAATTAAATTATTAATAAAAATTGTAGCCCGGCATTGTGACGATGTCACGATAAATAATTGCTCGTATCCAATGAATTATTTTTATTTATCTTAATTTATTTTTTTACAAAATCATATTGTAATTATCATAAAACTTTTTGGCCTTAAATTTGTTATTTTTATACTCAAAATTAATTTTTTTTAAATTATGATTAAACGACATTTTACTATAATTTGACAACACTAAAGATATTCTTAAGCAAAATTGATTATCGATATCTTCAAAAGATCGAGTTTCTAAAAATATCATTAAATTTTCTATTTTATGGCTTGTTTTATTATTATAATCTTGCATGTCCATGGTTAAATACTTATCGCGAGTAATATAATCATTATACCGTATATCAATAGGTATATAAGAAAGTCAATTTTGTAATTTCTTTAATTAGGAAAACTTCTTTCGCTAAATATTACAAAAGAATTTGTGAAAATAATTAATTTTATTTATTTATTTTTCTACATTTGTTTACTTCGAATAGACTAAGCAGAACTATGTTTATACATGATAAAAACCTTAAGCTATAACTAACATACATTCTTCCTTGACTACTAAATTACAATAGAATTAAAAACATGGGGCATTAAACTACGAAGCCTTAAGTCGTAGTTTAATTTATATGTTAATCTGGTCCTGAACGTAGGCAAACTATTAAAAGTTCTCTGTAAATTTATAGCCTCACGTATGTAAAAATCACTATTGATAACATTTATCGTCTCCCTATTGGTAGGAATGAAGCGTTTTATTGTTCTATTCTTTGTTTATAAAAATTGCGAGAAGAAAGATTAAACTTATGAGGAGCCTTTGTAAATGCTAATAATATGAGATTCTGGAGCTTTTAGCACTTTTTAAACGATTCAAAATTTTAAAAAGACGTTATACAATTTAAAATTATTTATGTCTATATTCAAAAGGTGTGCTTTACACGCTGCACAAGAATCGCTCACATTACAGCATAATGGAGAAAGTCGTAAGAAATATGATTAAATATCAACAGAAATATTTACACGATGGCCAATTTATATGTGATTAGATATACAAGATATCGAATAGTACACAAATTAAACTGATCGAATTTATTGAAAATTTCAAGTTGCAAATGTCTTTTAGTATATTTTCTTCTTTTATTGATAAAAAGATAAATGCTAAATAGGAAGAATGGGAGAATAATGCAGATGAATGAGGATAAAGGAAATTTTTTAAACTGGTTCAAAATAAATCAATTAAATTTGAAATTTTGTGATCTATAACTGAGAACTGCTTAGTTTCCTCTTCTCGTTTAGATAGGTTTAAATCATTGATCCATCATATCCTGTAAGTAGATCAATTTCGTCATATCTTTCTGTATTAAATCCACACTGAAAGAAAAGTCTATGTTGAGATTTAAAATAGTGTGAATTTCGTTATAATCATGGATTTAGCAACTGAAATTAAACCAAACATTACAAGATAAATCACAGATTTAAAATTTGAAATTGAAATTATATTGATAAAGTAGCATTTTCAATAGTTGATGATACAGAAGTTGTAAAATTAAGTAGAAAGTCGTGATAAGAAAATGAATAAAAATAATTACAATGGTCTTGATATATTACGATGTGGTAATTATAAAGAAGTGAAAATCATGCAGATGAATCATTTCGCTAAGATGTTAAATGTAGTGTGTAAATGATGTAGCAAGAGAATAGTAGAAAATATCTATATTGACGTGACTAAGGGACGTTAGGGTGTAATACAAAGTACGGAAACATCCGAGCAGGACAGAAACAGTGAGTGCTGAAGTAGAAAACTTCTCCCCTCCCACAAAGAGATTCACTGTCCTGTGGCAATGTTCCCGAGACACAAATGGAATTTTGATTGCGGTGACATCCGTGTGGGTGGAGATGACATTTGGACGTAGCCAGAGGGAAATGTGTTGGCTTCTACAAAAAAAAAAGAAAAGAATTTTCGCCTTTCCTACTCGAAAGAGGGTTTGAATTTAGTGTCTTGACGTGACACCATTCTCTTTCTTTTTTTATACATCGTATATATGTTTATATATAAGATAGATCAAATATTTATTGATGATAATATAATATATTTATATTCTAAAGAATATTTACGGGTTCTTTCTTGTTTTTAATTATAAAATTCGTATAAAAGTAATATTTGTGTCAATTTAAAGTAGCACTGTTAATTTTGATCTAGTTTATTTTGCTGTCTTGACACTCTTCTCTGACGCTTACAAATAAAAGACTTAATTAAATCGGGTGATTGATTAGGTTTTAAACTTTTTAAAGCTTTCTAATAAAATGTTTCAAACTCTAAGCTGATGATTAATCACGTAAGAACTAAATTATACATATTTATAACTTATTAGATGCCAGATTTTTACTTACGTCACTTATCTTTCAATTATTGCATTATTTTTCCAAAAAAATAAAATAATTTTTCTAATAATTAAAGATAAGAAAATAAATATTTGAAAGATTATTTCTGAAAATAACAACTTTTATTTTTTTATGAGATTATTTAAAATTCTAATCATAAAATTTTATATATATATATATATATCTAGATATAATATGTTCTAATTACGAAATTATCAGTGAAAAAATATAGATTAAAGAAGCCCTACTAAAAAATTTAACGGGCTTTAGTAGGAATGTATATAATATATTATGTAAAAGGTAATTCTTTATGAGAATGCGCACTAAAATATTATGTCTTTCGATTGAACTTATTAGTGAAAGGCAGTATTTATAATTAAATTTCAGCAAAAGAGGTCAACAGGATATTGCGGTGAAACTTCTGTGTCGTGCAATCGAATTAGATTCCAATTTTGTTGGTGCTTATTCAGCTTTGGCATCTCTTTATGCTGAACAAGGAAAGAAAGACGAAGCTGAAAAACTTCATCTCTTGGCATTAAGTCTTGATCCCGAAAACGCTGATTGTTTCAATAATTATGGAGCTTTCCTCCAAAAAACAGGTAAGATTTCATTATCCATTTCCCCCTGTCAGTTAATGCTAATTGAATACAATTCTATCTTTAATCATGGCATAATAAGTAGCAAATCCTCGATTATTAGATTAAGAAACAGACTTAAGAATTTGAAACAGAGTAACTGAAATAATCAATAAAAATATCTTTAACCGGAAAATTCTATAAATATATATTTAGAAGAATTTACAAAATGTATTTTTCTCCTATATTAAATTATTTTCGACGTTAATAAAAATTAAGGTTGATCTTTTCGATCGAATCTATCGAATTATATTATATAACTTTATTAGATCATTCTAAATTTATTTAAAAGATGATGTGTATGTATTTTTAGAATAGATCATTCTGCGGATAAATTAAATTTTGGTAAAGTACCAAATCTAGGTTAAAAAGAATATTCATCAGTTTTATATTTTTTAAAAGTACAGTTATCGTACGTCCTCTTTTTCCCGGACATGTCCTCTTTTTCGACATAAAATTCTTACTCTGGCAGATATTTATAGACACATAAAAAATTTAATAATAATTAAAAAAAAGATAAAAAATGTGTATATTTTCTATTTTAATTTTTGATTACAAAATAAAATTTGTAAAGATTGAATATTAAAATGTCCTCTCTTTTTTATGATTTGTTTACTGTAACTTTACATTAATTAATGGTCAAGAATCAATTGAGTTTATTTTACATTAATATTTATTAAAAGTTATATAATTAAATAAATAAATCTCCACGAAAATTGAAAAATATTTGAATTACTAACGAAAATACGAAAAAACAATTTAGATGAAATGTTTAGCCGTCAGATGGCGTTTCTTTGATTATCCAATGAAAGACAATGAACGTTCAGACGTCATTTTAGAGAACGTAATTTAAATTTGGCTGATGAATTTTGAATATAATTTCTTCTCTGTTGGAATTAAAGTTCGTCCTATAGTAACATAGGCAAAACAGTCCTTGTGTAACTTAACAAAATATTACATTAATGAATTGTATTTTTTAATATAAGTACTGAAGTAATATTTAAACAGAATTTCAAAATCCTCTCATAAAGAATGTGCTTTGTAAGTAAGGCTCTACAACAGAACTGAAGAAAGAAAAAAAAACTGAATCATTTAATTAGTTTTTGAAGTTCCATAAAAAAAATCAATGGTCTTATCATGATATCATCTCGACACGCAACGCTACAATAAACGTAAATACCATAAATACGATTTTATTTATTACTGTACATGTGTCACAATATAAAGTAACGATAACATATGACCGAATACGATTCGATCGCGTTATAACAACGACAATCGTTAGCTCGTCGTTTACTAATAGTTCATCCTGATGTCACTTCCGGAACGTCAGGATGTGGAGAACATTCATCTTATTTCCTAAATAAACCTACAAATCGAAAATATTACTAGGTTTTAGTTTATTTTCCTTATATTTTTGTTTCCTATTCCGCGATATTATATAATTTTTCAGCATGCCTTAGATTTATTTTCGGTTCGATTTGACCGTTATATACGAACGGATATTTGTTAAATGAATTGAGAACACCAAACGAGTGCCACACTCTATTATGTTAACATATCAAACATTTGAACGAAGAGTAATATATCCAATAAATGCCAAGAACAGTGGTTGTTGCTATATAATTTTCGAGTAGTGAGGGTCGAAAAATAATATTAAAATCGTTATTAATTTATGTAATGGTATAGCATTTATCTACACATAATCTTTATTTGCAACATAGTTTATAAATTCTTTTTATATTTTAATGCTTATAAATTTGAAAAATATTTCTTTACGTTCTATTCATAGAAGGCACTTTTTAAAGGTATTCTGTAGGGCTTCTTAGAGGTTACTTAATTCCTTCAAGCCCCATTATATTAAAAAACAAAACAAGATTAAAAATTGTAGACTTATTCTTTTTTAATAATAAAATTCGACAAATTCTGTGAAATAAATAGTTTGTAAAAAAGATTTTGAGGCCTTATAAATGAGATGAGACCATGCTGACTCCCTCTGTAGGGCCTACTAATCTATAATGAATGTAAACTTATTGTAAATTTAATAATAATTTAGAAAATAAAACTTTTAATGATATACATTATATTCAAAATATACATGATTTATTTTATATTCTTTCGGTTATAAAGAATTTTAATACATTGATATTCACAGCACCATTCAGTTTAAAAATACTCAGTTGATTCATAAAATGAACTAGATTATTATGCATCAATTTCAAACTGATCGAAGTATAATAAATCAAACGTTAAGATCTTTAGCCTAAAATTTTTGTTTGAAAAATGGGCAAGAAAAGTTATGAACGATTTTCCGTTAAATACTTCCAACAATTTCTGGATAGGTCACATAAAAGTTTTGGCTTTCCGCCAGATAAACCGGGATCGAATCCCACAATTCTATTCCTTAATTTTTCAGAGGAGTCCGAGTTCGGCCCATTGAACTCCTTTTTTACAATTTAACGATAATCTACAATTCTGAGAAGAATATAGCGAGCTTCATTATCTATTATCCATTTTGTAACTATCCATATCTTTTATGTATTAAAGATCATTATTTTCTGTTCGATTAACTAATGTATGCTCTTGAAAGGAATTATTATAAAAAGGTAACAAGTTAAACGTGAAGTTTTCTCCAATTTTTGTAATTTTTTTTAAATGAATTTACTTTCAAATTTTTGAAAATTAATATAACTCAATACGCGAAACCTGATAAAACATATGCTGAATGAAATGATCTTAAACTACTTTTCGCTGAAGATTAAAAATATTACTGTTTTGTTTTCTCAAAAATGTAATAAAAAGACTTCAATTATCATCTTTGTGATTTGTAATCATAACTTTTTATGAGATTTCTTTTATGAAATGTATTACATTCATTTCATTTTACTCTGTTATCGAATTTTGATGCCAATAACCCACGAAGGAATTATAACTTTGTCATGAATATATGTATATTGTTATTATCATTTCAAAATAGTAATAATAATTCATAAAAATTTAAAATTAACTATTAAATTTAGAGATAATTAACATTTAATGTTCCGCATTGGAACAATGAAATCACGTCGTGTTTATCACGAATGGATGACAGATTAAACTGTTTATAAAATGACAAACTGATTGACATTGCGTGAAATTATATTATTGCGTGACATCATGATAACTCGAAGGAAATAGAAACGAATACGTTCTTCCTCATCGTGTCCAAATACAAGAGGACAACCTTGTAAAAATATCAATAATTTAATGATTGAGTGCTTTGGCTCTTAAATACGTCTTTTCTTTCATCGGATGATAATTAGTATAGGTGTCGAATATTCAATAAAGATATCAAGAGATGTCACATGAAAAATAAATGATAAGAACAATCTAAGTAAATAAAAAATAACAATGGATATCTTACGGGATCCTCATTAAAATCGTGCCCTAAATTTGTCGGGCAAGATCAAGTTACCTCGGAATTCTTAATTGTTACCGTCTTGTTAAAGGAATTGATGTTATTTACTGTTTCTTGAACTAAAATAAATTATTCTTAAAATATTTTAATTTTTAAATATGGACATATTTTAAAGAAAAAGTTGACATGCCATTTTGGTTCTTCCTTTCATTGATTTATGTATTATCGCAATGTTTTACGACTTTGGGTGTGCCACTTGTGGTACGCACGATAGGATTAGATATTCTAATATAAAAATGGCTAGAAAATTTTTTATTTTTTTTCAGGAAGAATAGACGAAGCGGTGAAGCAATACCAAAAAGCCATTGCCATCGATCCTAATCATACTGTAGCACTCGTTAACGCAGCTAAAACCTTAAAATCGATGAAGCATAACGTAGAAGCGGAGGATTTATATAATCGGTAAGATATAGATACACTTTACTTTCCTAAGAAAATATATAAATAAATTTAAAAAATCATTAAATTCACGTGGTTTTATTTTATTAATGCATTTGTTGGGCGTGAAAACATCGAAAGAACAACATGTTATATTACTTAGGTTAAAAAATATTAATCATATGACTACTCAAAGGGGCGAAACTTCAACAACATGGTTTTGCAATTAAATATCATTTCTATAGTCACGTAAATGGCGAGAGGCTTTTTTTTTATTTTTTAAATTTTATTATAGATTTTACTTAAATAAATATTATATTCTCGTCCCGCTATATAATTACTTACTTCCCAGTAAGTTTTCATTTAATAATGTCGAAAAGTGACACGACAAAGTAAATTAAAATCGCAAAGACATTTTATAAATTTTTTTATTAATAATTATAATGATAAGAAATCGATAAAGTTTTGATTTCATTATTTGTACAATGTGAAATTTTGGTAAAGTTTTGGAAGTATTTGGATAGAAAATTATCTTGGAAGATGAAGACAGTGTCGAATAATGTTTCCGTTTTCACAAAATGAGATTACAGATAAAGTACGACAATTTTATGTTTCTCTAGTTCAATGACATGTATCCAGAAAAAGGAATCTATAGTATTCCAAAGATAATTACGTCTCGTTCTTATGGACCAAATTCGATGTAAGACGATCCTTCCGGAAGTTAGACATGATTTTGATATAGCTTCTTCCGTTTTCTCTCCCGGATAATTATTCTGTAGACTATCCTCCGGAACTATAATTGGATCGCTACCGGAATCTAGTTTGATTTTTTTTCTTGTTGTTTTTTGGAGACAGAAAATCGTTTTATAGTCACAGAAACTCTTTTTTTCCCTCTTTTTCTTCTTATTCTTCTACTTTGTTTTCATTATTTTAATTGTTTCTTAAGCGAAAAAGATAGTCATTGGTGGCAATCGAAACTTCTGTTTTTCATGATTAACAAAGTACAATTATACAAGCTTTTGTCTAAACATGCATAAAGATTTTAATAAAAAAAAATTATATAATTATTTTTTGAATAATTTTTATTAATAGTCATAAAATAATAATAATAATAAATGCGATAAAAAGTACGTTAAAAATTATATAAACATAGGCGGTCCTCTGTAATATATATAAGATAACACTGAAAGATATTACAACGATTACGCTTTAGTTACGTGATTATTTAAGCTTAACGATAATTGGTTATAAAAATAGGTGGAATAGCCCTCTGTATCCAATTTTATTTCGTTCAGACAGCGTAACTTCAATTAATTGACATTAAAATACGTTTTACTTATTTTCACAGAAAATTATATGTTCTTGTACTCTAAGTTATTACTTTTTCCCAGTTTAACACGAATAAAAAAGTAAATATATCACGAGTTAATAATCCGAAATATTATGTAGTAATGTCTTTCAAAATAAAATCAGTTTAAAACAAGGGAAATATCTTTTTATTTTGGTATAAATCGGTTAGAGTTGGATCGCTTCCATTTTAAAATCATCATTGAGAATACTTCAAAAAATCGCTTAAACAATAAATCAGTGGCGTCATGTACATATCATTACATACAGACACAAAAGAATAATCGTCAGAGAATCTGGAACAGATGTAATGAAGGGGACGGATTCGGTACGGAAGCGATTTGACATGGGCGCTCTGTAATCTTGATGGGTGTGGTTGATAACGTGATGAATCGCGTACATTTTGTTACAGCATCTCTTTTTTTTTACAAGAATTGAAAAATCACTAAATTTGCTGCCAGCTTTTCTTTTAAACACTATTATTAAAAAATGAAATCTTTGATGAATTTTTTATTATGTTTCAAAATGGGCGAACTTATATATTTTTTCTCTTTTTCTAGTGCATTGACGATACAAGAAGATCCTGACATCATGGATAATTTGGGATTACTTTATACCAATACCGGAAGAAGTAAAGATGCTAGAAGGGTTTACGACGATCTGAGGGAGAAGTATCCAGAACACGTGAATGGTAAAGTACATTATGTAAGTTATTAGAATTATTTTTTTAAAAAAAACACATAATTATTTTAGTTTATACGTTATAAAATATTTATAATGTTAAGATATTTATTTTATTTTCTTTTTATAAAAATTATTATTATTTTTTTTTTTCAGTCACAGCTTCTCATTCAAGATCGAAGTTATCAGCAGGCCGAACACATCTTGCTTTCTGTGGTGGAAGATAATAGTTCGCATCGAGAAGCACTTCACCTCTTGGCCACTCTTTACAACCAAAGCAATAAAACAACAGAGGTAAAAGCGTAAACTTAAATATTGAGTAGAGTATAAAGTAAAATTGTTTAAAAGCCGTTAATTCCGACACAATAGCGAATTCTGTAAGCGATAACTGTTACAAGAAAGCATTTAGTGTTTTCACCAACTAAACTTAATTACTGAAGCTGTAAATGTATTAATAAAGCAGAGCTGTAAAGGTTAAACAATAACTCATACTTCTTCCTCTTCTTAATAAGTAGAATATGGCAAGCTGGATAATGTACCTAATAAGAGACTTGTTAGTGTTATTATAGTAAATAAACGTTTATATTTAAGCTATATATATATATATATATAATAATTTAAAGAAACGTTTCGTGTTTAACACCATAATCAAGCTGCTACTAAGGATAAACATGATAATGGGAAGAGTAGAGCCAAGCATTTTATCGTAGAATATATTTTAATATATTAATTTTATTTTATAGAATAGATTTAATATTATAACAACATTTTACAAGTTTTATTTAAAATAGAATGTAAATTTATTACCTGTCTGCTTCTATTTATAAATTTATCTTGTTTCAAAGTATGCTGATAGAGCGAAAATATAGATACTTTCTCTTTAATTAGCTATTAAATTTTAAAATGATCTTATGTTTAATTTAAAATTTATAATTGAATGTAAATAAAAGCGGTTCAAATATTTTTGAATGAGAAATGTTGTCTTAAGAAATAATGGGAATTTTTATATTTACACAAGATTTTATCGAGTCCATTACAGTAGATAAGTATAACAAAGTTATAATATAATTTACGAGTTTCGAATTATCCAAAAACCAAGCAGCCGAAACAGAATTTTGTTTCTATAAAATCGTTTGAAAATATAAAAATCACCTTATAAACTGTTTTACAGATAAAAAGTAACTCAGACGGTTATAAGAACTTTTGTAGAAATTTTTCATTCCTAAATAACAAGAAATAGCTAGACTGACGTCGTTATAAAATGCCTTTACTTGCTATTTTATTACGAGTTCTTTTCGTAGCACACGCTTGTTTTTATAACCCTTCTATCCGTCAACCTTGGTGTAGTTTATGAGGCTATCTGGCTGTTTGTATCCAAACTGGCCAAGCTTGGGGTTCGCCACCTGCTCTGTGTTTCTAACGCCCTGTTCCTGCGGTTTATCTATCTTCGGAATGATTTACGTCCTGGAAAACAACCCAAATGTCACATCTTGTAACAGAAGAGGAGAAACTGCTCTTCGATAGAACTATAGCGACTAGCTTATACTTATCCAGTTATGATTGTATAACTCTTTTTATTTTTTTAAATGTAGCATTTATTAAATCATTTATTTAATTTTAAATTAATTATTTAGTAAAGTTCTCATTAAACAATATATAATTAATAAGTTTTAAATTTTATTTTTAGGCTCTAGATTATATTCTTCGAGCCTTGGCAGTTTGTAATTTTCAAGAAAAGATTTGTGCTAGAATGCACGCTGAACATGGAGACATTCTGAAGGATCTGAATGACTTCGATTCGGCTGAACATGTAAGTAAACATTAATTTCTAATAATATAATTGCATTAATCTTTTGAAGAAACAATTCAAAGATGAGCAAACATTCTGTGAGGATCGATACATACAATTACATACGATATAATTTCAAATATACCTTTTGTATTTAAAGTGCAGAAACTAACTTAAATTTAGTATTATTGCATAACAAATTCATCGTGTACAATGCAAATAAATGATACATCTGACTTTAGAGAATATAATTTTAATAAAATATTAACTCGAGAAATCCTTAACAAAATTATTGTGTAAGTTATGAGAATGTAATCAATAAGAACTGTAACTCTAATAGATTATTAAAGATCAAATTTCTATGAAAATCAAAACATATTTCACTTATGGGACATATAAATCTATTAAATGTAAATATTTAATTTTTATTATCTTTAAAGTTTACTTTACTTTACTTTAAAATATAAATTACGTCTTTATCAATCATTATTCAATTTTTTCTTCCTATTTATCATTTTAACATACAAGTTATATAATTATCCGACAAATATTAATATAATCAGATGTATGGCCTTAAGTATAGGATAAAGAACACAGGAAAATTATATTATTCAGAATAAAAGAACATAGGAATATTATGCAGGATAAAAATTTAATAGCTTTAAGAGATGGTAAAGAAAAGAGAAACTTAAAACTCCAATAAATGTATACAGTAAAAATCCTATATACAAAAGAAATAGCACGTAAAAGCTTTTACAAAGATTGGCTGGCGAAATGGTTATCTTTGTGACGAAATAGACGAAAATTGTCGTAACTCCGCCTATTTTCTTTCTATTACTAACAGATTTTTAAATTGTTTAACGCTGTATGTTTCGCATAACGCCGAGAACGTTACATGTTTATTTTATTTTATTTTATTTGATCTATTTTATTATATTTAAAATTATTACATTTGCGATTAAGAAAACTACAGAGAAAAATTCAACTTTTATCAGAAAATTATAAAATAAACGAATATAATATAAAAAACTTAGATAAAATATACATTATCGATTTATAAAATCATGCGCATAAAAACACTTCCTCTTTCAGTTTGGAATTTTAAAATTTCTGCTGCCTCATAGAAAAATTTCCATTTTACAATTTTGAATAAAGACAAAAGAAAATATATTATATATTACTATTTAACATAAGACTTATACATTTTTCATATCTTAAAACACATATATATTTGTAGTTAAAAATTTTTGACAAGATTGAATATAATTAGAGTAAACACTTAGTAGAAAAGTTAGGTACTGTGTGTCGTTAGTATTCAAATTAGATCTTTGATCACGCGATGTGTCACCTGGTCCGTGTCACATCCGGCGATAAATATAGTGCCGCACATGACTTAATTATATAGCAGTCATGATCCCATTTCGTCAAAGAGAACTCTTTTGTTCTGCTTGACAACTTAACCAAAGATTAAATAAATTGTCATTTCTCACTGTTCTGACTCCTGATATCCTGTATATTTTATTGACTCTTTTTTAATGTAATTTATTTACTTTTAATCTAATTGAAGTTTGAATGTTTTTAGTCAGTCAGTGCCTTTTTTACTTGGCGGGGAGTCACTGTTCTGACTCCTGATATCCTGTATATTTTATTGACTCTTTTTTAGTGTAATTTATTTACTTTTAATGTAAAAAAAAATAATGGAGTTTTATGTAGTGCTATTATTCTTAATTATTTTTCTACATGAAAGTTCATAAATGTTAATTCGCGTGTAGGAAAATACTTTTTCCATTTTACTTTAACTATCCAGTTAAAGAAATGGGTAAAATTAACTTTCACTTTTCTTTATTAGTCTATTAAAATCCCCCCCAAAAAACGACGTTGTAATAAAAGGTAACTTTAAATATCTAGTATATTTGTTTTGCCTTGTAATTAGATTTTAGAAAGAAATGAAGATTGAAAAATTGGTAGCTACTCATGCATAAATAAGGTTATATATTTGTAGTTTTTCTTAATCTATGTCGACAGGAAGAGAAACTACATTGGTAGAGTCGGAAGCGTAGCGATCTGTCAAATAAATGTAGCATAAGTAACGCAATCTCTACTTTGGCATGTTACTCTTACTAAACTTTTAGAAAAGCTTTAATTTAAAACTCAGAATTAACCTTTCTTATCGATAGTTCGTGCAAAGAACATGACAAAATCAATGATTATTGGTTGCTTTAGTGTTTTGACTAGACAAGCATGAAGATGATTCATGGTTTAGATAAATGCAACTTACTGTTGCAATCGAACTTGTAAATTGAGTTAAAACTTACATCCATTAAGAAAAATGGTTTAAATTTGAAATAATTTTACAATTTTTTTAAACTATAAAACGCATTATTTGATTCGTTTTTTTTCCCTCCTCTACTTTTTAGGGAAATTATACGGCAGCTCATAGACATTATCAAGCAGCTTACTATTTGGATTCGAATCATAAACTTTTGTTAGAAAATATGGAGAAATTACGGAAAACTTTATATAAAACGACAAATGATAATTGCTGGAGAGGTGGAGCTGCTTGTCATTTGGAATAGGACAGAAGAAATGGCGCCGAACCAGGGACCAGAGACGCGAAGCTTCAGTGAAAACTATGCAAGTTATAATGAGTGATGCCAAGTGAGACAATAACTAAATAAACGTGACACTTTTTTTTAAAAAAATGACTATTGGTTTCCATTTACTTTTACGTATTTTTAAAAGGAGAAGGTTTAACGTTACGTCATCATTGACTCGAGGGGATCGAGCGGCGATTAATGGGGTTACGGATTAAGGGTAGATTCCCCTGAAAAATTGAGGAATAAGTTCAATGAGATTCGATTCTTCAAGCGGAAAGACAAAGACGATTAAAATAACAAAAGTAATATTTAAAAAATCGTCATGCAATCATCAATAATGGAAAACAATCATTAAAAGTAAATTTTTTTTTATCAGTTTTATTGTTAAAAATTTATGGCTTCATGATAATGAATGGTTTCAAAAAATATGAACATAAACAAAAATCTAATACAGTGAATGAGTAATTAATATTATTAAATACACTTCAATTAAACTTATTTATAATATTTTAATTGTAAATATTATAATTTTAAAAGTATTTAACAAAATTCACAATTTACAATTATTCTAACTTCTCTAACTTCAAACAAAGATTTAAGAGAAACGAGCAATTATTTATGCCGGGTTGTAATTTTTAATTATATTTTTTAATTTATTTAATCTAAAATATATGCTTTCCATCTTAAATTAGTAGTGGCTTGCTCCTGTACATGATAATGGGAATTTATAGGCGCAATCATTAATAAATAACAAAATTAAATTAACGAATTGTTTAAAAACTTACAAAACAGCAGATTTAAAATTAACAAGTTTTAATTTTTAATATCAAATGTAAGATCATATTTATAATTAGAAGTATTGGAATTAATGATAAGATTTGTAAACACCAAACCGAAACAGTTTTTGATTAATTAATGAAATTACTTGAAACAGTTTCCGATCCTTTAACAGAATTATCTGAAACAGTTTTTGATCATTAATAGAATTACCCGAGAGTTCCTAATCACCCAACCGAATTACTTGAAACAGTTTCTGATCACATAATCGAATTATCTGAAACAGTTTATTCGTTATCTTAATAATACATCAGCTAATTAGTCTCAATATCTGTCTTTTAACTTGAGAAAAGCAATAGAAAATACACTCTCTTGCAACTAAAATAATTGATTTTAAGTTTATAAAATAAGAGAGCATCATCTTAAAATCATCTCAAATTTGAAATTAATATTTAAAAATAATTATTCATATAATTAGAGTAAACACTTAGTAGAAAAGTTAGGTACTGTGTGTCGTTAGTATTCAAATTAGATCTTTGATCACGCGATGTGTCACCTGGTCCGTGTCACATCCGGCGATAAATATAGTGCCGCACATGACTTAATTATATAGCAGTCATGATCCCATTTCGTCAAAGAGAACTCTTTTGTTCTGCTTGACAACTTAACCAAAGATTAAATAAATTGTCATTTCTCTCGATTAACATAACTTTCCCCCAGTTGTAATACATNTAAAAGTATGAAAGCGTGACATTTTAAATATTTAATTTTTAAAATTTTTGTATAAGAAAAATATGCAAATTATTTTAAAAATTTAATAAAATTAAAAGCTTAACTATCGAGATAAACTTTCGTCGAAACGACTCGACCATACTTAATTTACATAACTGGAATTAAAATTGCATTTAAACATTAGTGAAACTCACTGGAGTATTTAAATTAAGTATTTAAAAAAATTTCTCTCGGTTTTATTTTATTAGTTATTTGATTAACAATGAAATGTTTTTAAACTTGTCACTTTATCCTATTTATCCTGGAAGAAAATGGGAGGATAAAATATATTCTTGAAGTGTTCTTAAACACGTGATGAAGATATGAAACGTTTGACGTTTTAGAATAACAAATAAGCAATTTATATAAGTTAAGAGATAAAAGAATATAAAAATTTTGTTAGGAATTTTCAAATAAAATCAAAAATAGCATCGTTGTCACAAGATAAATTTAAATTAAATGTTAATGCTATGGAAGAAAATAATAAGATGCATTGGAGAAGTGTAAAATTTGGTTTCAGAAGAAAAGTGGCAATGCATTTTTATTTTTTAATGATTAAAATTAGAAATTTGTAATATTCCTTTATCCAACTTACATTCCTTTATCGATAAACGTGATTGGAAGAGAATAGATTAAGATTTCAATTAACAATATTTATAATTGAAAGCTTATATTGATCAGTATCGATAGATTTCGTAACAAATTTGAATTCAAGTATCGACTTGGTGATGCATAAGAGATTTAGAGACGTGTTCAATTGTCCATGGCAAGGTTGAACCGAGGTGACCGGTAGCACGTTAGAAGCTGTTCTTTGCACCGAGAAAGAGGAGATCGAAGTTTATCGACCGAAGAAAGAGAAACTAACTCTGAACTTAATTCCCAATAGGCAAGACTATGCGGTCAGGAATTCGTTAGTTTCTCCTATAAAACACAACGGGAACAACCAAGAGAATTGTCCTACAAAATAAATGTTAATAGAGATTTTCTTCTTTTGAACTATCTCATATATAGGTAAATTACTTTGTTTTCGGGGTTATATCCATTGTCTAACTATTCTTCGTAACGCTTGAAATATACGAGAAATGAATTTACTCCAGTCTAAATTAAAGCTGCATTCTCCAGTTTAGAACCTAATTATATTAATTCTGTAATTAAGAACAATCATTTGAGAATTAAAGCAATTCCTTCACTTCTACAAGACAACTATCTCCGGTTAAATCGTTAAAGTTTCTGAATAATTTGGCGAAAATCATCAGAAATAGAAAATATATTAATTTAAAACAACAAAATACTTTTATTTTTCAATTTTTTCTGAACTTTTTAGGAAAAAATTATGGGATTATAAACAAAAACAATTCAGTTTTGTATATATAAGCCTATAGACAATATATATATATATATTTCAATTTGTTCTCATTAAGTTGACAACGAAAACAATTTTTTTTAATATTTAAAAAAAAAGAAAATCTTTAATATAAACATCTTGATATATTCGTTTATTATATTCACGCATTAAAACTTAAATATATATTAAACTTCGTTTCTTTGCCTTTGAAATAGGCACTAAATCTAAACTAAAGCACATCAAACTCAACACCTGAATATAGTAATCAGGGCAATCAAGTTTTAAAATTAAGAATAGCAATTTCGTTTCCACTGCAAAATTGTACATTTAAGTATTCGCAGAAAATTAAATGTTTTCGATTTAATATTCATAGGGAAAATCTGCTTATAAGTATTAATTGGAGCTTTACAATGGTGACATCAAATAGAAGAGCAATATATCGAGGTTTAAATGTATTATTATTATTTTATACGAAGTTATGTCTTGGCATTTAATTATTATTAAGAAAAACTGATAAATGAGTCCAAAAATAAACATTAGATTATTATTTTAAGTACTTGTAAATTAAGTCAAAGCTAACGATTTATCATTTTTTTGGTAAACTTTAAAAAAAATTAAAATATAAAAATATTCTGTTGAGATTTTTGTAAACATTTTTAAATTTCTGTGCCAAAAAATAGACAAATATAAATCAAAAGTGAGTTATGGAAAATAACAGATATCAAAGTTTAAATCTTTTTTTTTAAGAAAAAATATTAAATAAAATTTAAAAAATGGTATATATTTTTTACATCCGATCATTTTATTAAAGTTTCTTAAATGAAATTTTAATTTTCTATCTTAATTAATTCTATATGCTATCAGTTTATATAGAGCGTCATATGTTTACTTTTCGGAAATACAAAGATAAAACGTTGTTGTGCATTTTTAACTTTTGAGTATAACATTAAAGTAAATTAGCTTAACGTAATTTTATAAATGACTTTAATGGAAATAACCAGATGTTTATAATTTTCTCTTTTTAATCATTCCTAATTTGTAAAAAGAAAAATGAACAGAATTAAGCAGATGTCGAAAATATGGCCTACTAAATGGGTTTATATGGTAAATATTTCATTAATTTTTTATCTTTAAATCTCGAAAATCAAAATACTAAACATTATTTTACAAAATCGAATAATTTCTAAGAGATTTGTAACAAAATTTTCCTTACAAATCTTTCATGTTTATAGAGAGAATTTAAGTTTTTTTTATAGAATATATTTTTTACATTATATTAATTATAAATTTTTATGATTTTTATGTATAAAAAAACGAAGAATATAAAAAACAAATTAAAATAAAACATAATTTTTCGTGATTTTTTTTAATCTTTAAAGAAGATCAGACAAATTTAGAAATGATAAATATAATAATTTTTTTTAATTTTTAAATTATAATTCTGATTACGAAGAGCGTGAGAAAATATAAATTAAGTTTTTTTAATATAATTTATATTTCACGTGTTTTTTTTTAATCCAATTCATTTAAACCAGAGGCTTTTAGGGTCGTTTAACTTTTTGAGGCCTTCGGTATATTAAAAAAAATAGCATTTAAATTGTATTATATATTATTATAAACAATAAAATTCGACAAAAATAAAGGTTTTTTTTTTAAATACATACACAATAAACGCAACAGAATTAATAATTTTTATGTTCTTGAGACCCTTTCAAATAACCGCTGGCATGCGCCCTGATAGGAAGGAGTATATTTGATCTTATTATAGCCCTTAACTATAACGTATAAGAGGTTCTTCCTTTATGAAATAATAAAATAAATTTAAAATATGAGGCCCTTGATGTAAATTTGACCGTGGTTATAGGGTCTGACATACAGAAACGTTGTGTATGACTGTATAATTGACTAAACATGTTTTTATTCCGATGTTTAAAATAATAATAAATAGATGTATGCAAGATGTAGCTTAATAATAACATTATTTCTTAAAAGCACACATTTTTTTTAATGTTTAAATATTTAATTTCTAAATTATAGTGCTTTTAAATACAATAAATAAATCGGATAAATTAGTAAATAAAAGAAT